GAACAGTTTAAAGAGGTCTTGTGGAACAAATTTGACTAGTGCAAATCTATTTGAGGGGGAAAAGTCAATAAAAATTGAAATATGGTATTTTATGAAAGTTTTCAAAAGATGAAAGGAATTTATTGCATTAAATTTTTACTTAAAAATTATGTTCTAGATTATTTTGATCCTAAACCATGAAGTTGATTCTGACTCATAGTGATCCTATGTAGGGTTTCTGAGGCTGTGAATCTTTTCTGGAATAGAAGCCTACATCTTTCTCCAAAACAGTGGCTGGAGGATTTAAATTGCAGACCCTGCAGTTAACAGTCCGGTGCATATCCATCCTTTTAGTTGTTAGGTGACACTGAGTCAGTTCCCACTCATGTTGACCTTTATTGGCTTTCTGGGGATAAGCTGGTGTATTTGAACCATTGGTGTTGTAGTTAGCAATTCATTGCTTATACTATGATACTATGATACCACACCAGGATTCCTTTCATTTGCTCCTAGGAACTTTTATTTTACATTTTATTTCTTCTATTGCTGTGGTTAGGTGTCATCGAATGGTTTTAACCCTATGAACAACAAATTACTGCCTGGTCCTGAGTCATTCTCACAGTCACTGCTACATTTGAGCCAGTGTTCAAATCTAGTTGGGAATCTCCCTCTTTCTCGGTGACCTCCACTTGAAGTTAACAGCCCAATGTATAACACTATGAGTCATTTCTTTGTATGTTTCTTTATTTAAAGTTATTCTGGATCCAAGTAAATTAAGTGTCTATTATTTCCTATTTCCACATAAGAACTACAGAGAAAAACCTAGGTTTGCAAGTTAATTTTCCTATGTTTAGATTGTTGTTGTTAAGCGCCACCTACTTGGTTCCCACTTATAGTGAACCTGTATTGGGTTTCCAAGGAGTTGTTGTTAAGTGCTATCCAGTGTGTTCTGACTCATAGCAACACTGCATAGGGCTTCTGAGGAACAGCTGGTAAGGAGAATTTACAGTTCATACCAACCTTGAAGTCCAGTGCATTAACCCACAGCACCACACCAGGACTTCTTCCAAGAAGTGGCTGGTGTGTTTTAACTGCTGACATTGAAGCTCAAACTGACCTTGTGGTCCAGCACTTATCCTATAGTCTCACACCAGGACTCCTTTTAAATATGGCATCATGTAAAAAGCTGACCTAATTAGAATATTAATCATAATGGGGACTCCTGACTGACACTGTAGAATCAGAATTGAACTGTGAACCACAAGGTCAGCACTTCAAACCCACCAGTTGTTCATTGGAAATGAGACCCAATGGCACTTAGCAATTATAATGGAGAATCTTCAGTTTCCTGAACAGTCCATATTTAGGTCAGTGCAAAGGTATTTATATCCAGCACTTTCTTAAAGCCTTTGCAAGATCTACCATCAACCCAAAAAAACCCAATATTTTAAGTTTACTCTTTAGATTGGACCAGGTTATTTGAAAACACAGATTATTTGGAAAACAAAGGGCAGCCAAATTCCTTTAGGGGGAGTCTTTTCTATAATAGGATTGTTGTTGTTGTTGTTAAGTGCCGTCGAGTCGGTTCCGACCCATAGCAACCCTGTACAGGGTTTCCGAGGGTGTAAATCCTTACGGGAGTAGAAAGCCTCATCTTTCTCCTGCGGAGCGGCTGGTAGTGTCGAACCGCTGACCTTAAGGTTCGCAGCCCGATTCGTAACCACTACACTACCAGAACTCCTTATAATAGGATTAGAAAAATAAAATTAAAGATAATTTTATTTGATTTTATAATATCTCATTCAAGTTACTTATGAACATTTTGATTTCAGGTTGTTACAATCACAAAGTTCTGTTGAAATGAAAGCATTTTATTAATTCTCTATAATAAAAAAGTAACTAAATTCATAAGTGCATGAGTAAAAAAAAAAATGTTAAGTGCAAACACATCAGGTCTTACTAGCAGCAACCCTGT